TAGATAGATAGATAGATAGATAGATAGATAGATAGATAGATAGATAGATAGATAGATAGATAGATAGATAGATAGATAGATAGATAGATAGAGTGAACTACTAGTGGCAGTGGCAGGAGTCTGCCCACCCGCCCGCTCATCGTGAGCACAAGCGTGCACAAGCAAACCGGTAGCAAAAACAGTGGAAACCCACCATTGGACTAGATAGCCATTTGCCCGCTGCTCAAATGGGATTTAACTAGAAGACCTTCAAGGTCCTTTCCAATCCTATCATTTTATGTTCTATTTTGCATTAGAACATATATGGCAAATCAATGAAACCTATTTGGTCATAATGATAGCTTGCTTTTGTTAATGGAAGAATTTTTCTTCTTCAATTTCTACTGAATCCATCAAAGTAATTTGGCAGAGTGGGAAAAGCTGCGGTGTGATACCTAGGTCTGATTGTTGCTCTCTGCTTTGCAGAAGAAACGCACTGAGCGTCTGGTGATCACGCCTCTGAATCAGCTGCTGAACATGTTTGCTGGACCTCACAAACTGGTGCAGAAACGCTTTGATAAGCTCCTAGATTTCCACACATGCACCGAGCGGGCCGAGAGGTTGAAGGACAAGCGGACCTTGGAAGAATTACAGTCAGCACGCAACAATTATGAGGCCTTGAACACCCAGCTGCTGGATGAACTGCCCAAATTTCAGTGCTGTGCCAAGGAGCTTTTCACTAGCTGCCTGCGCAGCTATGCTGAGGCTCACTGTGACTTTGTACGCCTGGCACTGCAGGAACTTCAGCCTTTGTTCTCAGTAAGTAGAGAAGCTGCGAGTGGCTGGCATGGCTGGTGCTTTCCATGAGAACGGAAGGAAAGAGCACGGCACTTCCCAGTTCTCTTCTCCATCTTTTTCACTTTTAAGGCATGTTTGAAGGCATGAAATGCTCCTTGGATGAGATCCATGGTAAAATTATGAGTACTGATTACCTCTCCACTAACGTGGAAAAGAGGAAAAGTAATCCTCACTGTTCAGGAACCATCAGATTATCGTCATGATTACTCTGAATATAGTGGGTTATTACTGAGCAAAATTTACCTAAAATTGTCCTTTCCTGACTTGTGTCTGATATCGCTTTCCTCTATCTCAGCTGCTGCAAGTGGTTGGCCGGGAAGGGAATCTTATTGCCATCTTCCAGGAAGAGCATAGTAGAGTCCTCCAGCAACTACAAGCCTTCACCTTCTTTCCGGAGAGCATTGCTACCACTAAAAAGCCCTTTGAAAGAAAAAGCCTGGAGCGTCAATCGATGCGAAAACAACCCCTTCTGCCCATGGTGAGCTCTATGGGAGTAACAAGAGATGAAAGGCTGCCCTCTAGAGGTGGAATTATGTCATTAACTCAGTATGGTCAGATGGAAGAGTACTTCGGGCCTCAGTGTATTCATGTATTCTTCCTGATATTGAAAAGAGTAAACAGAGAATCTGTACAGGGCGGGGCATAACCTTTTCCTAGGGGGTCACAGCAAGATCGACAGCAGTTTACAACTTCCGCGACACCTCATTTTAAAGCCCATAAAAAACTGAATTGAATGAGCTATTAAATGTTAAATTTGCTTTAAGAATGGCTGGAAAATTCGATTCGGAAGAACAAAGGATCATTGACAGAATAAAATGCATTGCCTTTCGAGAGGCTCGCGATGCTGGAGCCAGATCTCAATTCGCCAGATCTCAATCCGGCAGAGAACATTGGGGCCATAATTAAGGATGAAGTGGAAGCTCTGATGATTCAGGAGCAAGGTCAAAATCGATATTCGGTTGAAACTTTGAGAATGAATTTGGAAACTGTGTTGAAAAATCTGGAAAATCGAACGGAACTGTTTGAAGATTTGTTGTGTTCTTATCCACCTCGTTTGAATGCTGTTCGAAGGGCTAATGGTGGTCATACTGACTATTAAATCGTGTCAATAAACTCAGTTTTTGATGGGCTTTCGAATGGTGTATGAATTATTTGTGTTGTTATTACAAGTGTTGCTGTGACCCCCTAGGAAAAGGTTATGCCCCGCCCTGTAGAATTCATTGCCATCAGATATGCTAATAGTCACCAAGATAGAAGGTTTTAAAAGAGGGTTGGATAATTTCATGGAGGTTCTCGGTGATTACTAGTCACTGGCTTTATATTTACTTTTTGAATCATACTTTACAAGCCTATTGTTGGGAGCAACAACAGAAAGTTCTGTCATCCCAGCCCTTCAACCATGTTTGTGGGCTTCTAAAATGTAATGCTTCAACTGGATTACTATACTACATGAAGCTCTTCGGCTGCTCTAATATGGTACTCACTGTTCTAAAGATGAATCTGAGCAAAGAACTATAGATGCTTGGATTATTCCCTTCCCCTTCACTGGAATTGTTGTTTCCCTTTTAGCCCAGTTACATGCTACAGTCAGATGAACTGCGAGCAGCCCTCCTGGCCCGCTATCCTCCTGAGAAGCTATTTCAGGCCGAGCGTAACTTCAATGCAGCTCAAGAGCTGGATGTGTCATTATTGGAGGGGGATCTCGTGGGTGTTCTCAAAAAAAAGGATCCTATGGGCAGTCAGAACCGTTGGCTTATTGACAATGGAGGTGAGTGGAAATGTTTCCGAACCTGAGCCCTCGGTCCTGTTCCCAACTGTATTATGCTTAGCACTAGTGATTATTTTCTTCCTTGCCCCATCTCTACAGTGACAAAGGGCTTTGTGTACAGCTCCTTTCTGAAACCTTACAATCCACGCTGTAGCCACTCGGATGTCTCTCTGGCCAGTCATTCGTCTGGTGAATCTGAACTCAGCGGTTCTTCCTCGTCCCATGGAATCAGTACAGCAAACAACATTTTGACCATCACATCTGTGAACAGCCCACAGAAGCCTCCACAGGACTCTGGCATCCTAGGCAACCTGATTAATTCTGTTCAGACTCTCTCAGAGCCGGATGCTGTTTGCCAACTCCAGCTGGGTCCCATTTTGGAATCTGCAGAGCCATCCCGCAATCCTCCATCATCTCGGCGACACAGTAATCCAGATGCACGAAATGGGCACCAAGCCCGGTACAAGGCAAGGCCAACCGCATCAGTGGACAACCTAAGGCTGAAGAGCAGTGAGTGCATGGGAAATCAGGTGAGTGGGACAGGAACATATGTAGACACATGCTCATTGCTTTTAATGGCCTGAGCCATATATTTTAAATTTCATTGGATCGTGGCTTACCAAAAGCCGGAATTGATTGGATTCATACATTGGACAAACGCAAAGTCTGCTTTACAGTTTGAACAAGGCCAGTATATTGATTCTAAATTGGCTAGCTAGTTTTTATAACTAACATCTTCTTAGTAATACTGTATTTTGAATGACTAGGAGAAATTGAACATAACACTTTGCTGAAAGAAATGCAAATGTATGTAGATATACTCTGGAAACAGCTTTCCTACCTATAAGAGAGAAAGAATCCCCAAAGTATTGAGTACCAAAATAAAAAGAACAATTTGGGAGGTGCCCAGTGGTTTCTGGTTGGCCCAAAGTGAAGATAGCAATTGGTTTTGTCCTGTGTTCTTTCTCACCTCCTTCTATCTTTTTTGCTTCCAGGTCTATTACGCCCTTTATACTTTTAAGGGCCGCAATTCAAATGAACTGAGTGTAACAGCCAATCAAAGATTAAAGATTCTACAATTTGAAGACATAACTGGCAACCAGGAATGGTGGCTGGCAGAGGCACATGGGAAACGGGGCTATGTACCATCCAGTTACATTCGCAAGACTGAGTACACGTGAGATGCTGGAGCAGGAGACGTCACAAACTGGTGCCTTTATAACTACCATGCAAGGGCATACTCTTGCATCCACGCACGCCATGCCTCTGAAAGTTTGGATTTCAGTATATTTATGTGGGGAGTTCGACCTCGTTTCCATCAAAGTTGGATGTAATGCTCTTACTGTGCAGCCTGAGACATCCCTGTCTTCCTCTTAGCAGGGCTGTGTGGAGCTCATATTTCCAATGAAGGTAGATATTCAGTCCTTAACTGGATTGTAAACTGGCTGGAAATCATGCAGCCAAGAGAGAGAGCTGGCTATTGGTGCAAAAGCATGAGAAAGGAGCCAGTGAAGATAAAAAGAGGACTCAGATTGTTGGGGGCAATATGCCGACTCTGTAAACTGCTTAGAGAGGGCTGTAAAGCACTGTGAAGTGGTATATAAGTCTTAAGGGCTATTGCTAATAAGTCCAGTATTTCAGAAGTCACCAAAGGAGTATTAGGTATATTTACTGCCTTGAATTAATTGTAAAAATAATAAAGGCAAGATATAAAGAAACAAAGAAATAAAATCGCCTCTTAAGGCCCAATCTTACTATTGTCCTCCAGCAGCTGGTTCTCAAAGGTGTAGCTGAACCTACTAGTAGTTATGGCGTGTAGCTGTTGGTATTTCTGCTCTTTGTGAAACCACGTATCTGCAGCCCTGTAAGAAGTGAGCCTAAGAGAAAGACAAGGGCTCAGAGACTTTGCTGAGTGTCACCACCAAGAAGCAAGTATCCCATGTGTCCTTTCCTATCTCAGTATTAGTTAACATTGTTTGCTGTTGGGCAAAATAATTCTTTGGTTCAACTTTAGACAGGTTTGGTGCCCATCTTGCATGCTGCAGTATCCGTGAGAGGGCAAGGCTGCAATTCTTTTGTCCCTGACTCAGGTCAGAGCTGGAGGGGGAGCATTGATGCTCTGGGGAAAACAGCAGAATGTAAAAGCTGCGTTTTGCTTCCTGAGTAACTTGCTTGAGTTGCTGTTGTATAAATAAAATATATTTCTCAAATTACTTGTATTTATTTTGGACAGAAACAATGCTCTTTCTCCTAGTGTGCAAATTTATTTTCCATACTCAGGAAATCTTAACCAGGGGCTATTGAGAATGATTACATATGCTGCCCAGAGTCTCCTTTGGAGGAGATGGGTGGCTGTATAAATTTGATTATATAGTTATAAAAGGTTACTTTTTTTTAACTCCAGTGATAACTGGTAAACGTTGATATCAAAAACTAAATAAGGGAGATTTATCTTACAAAGACTAGAGCATTTTGATAAGTTCAAAATACTTCTGGAATCTTTTTTTAATAAACCATTTTAATAAAGACCAAAAGATTGAGAAATAATAATCTGTGAGTAGCCTGCTTCACTGTGCTCTCTCTCTCACTATTGGCTTGTATCACCTCAGTCCTAGACTCTTCAGCCAGCACAGAGGACAATAACTCAGCCTATGCTCAAGATACCAGACTGGGGAAGTGCCTCCAAAAAGAATACTATAAAAGCCAACCTTCAAAAAACTATATACAACATACATGCAAGAAGGGTATGAAACCTGGACTGCTCAGAATGGTTTCCCACATTTTATTTCTTGATTTCACGTAGCGACCCTGTGGTAACATTTTAGCATGATGCCTAACCTCAAGTTCTTTCCCGGTAAACAAACACATGCCGATGCTGGCTCCAACTAATAAAGCTGCCTTTAAGTCTCAGGTAAACTACTGTAAACTATTGTGTTTTAAGGCTGAGTGACCCTAGCAGCGCTGGTAACATTTTTCATTCAGTGCCAGTGGCAAGTCAAAGAAAATCGCAATTCCCGAGAAGGTTGCTGGTGATTTTTCTGCCTTGAGCTCTCCTTCCTCTAAAGTGCAGTGTCCTGACTTCTGGTTATGCCAGCTTCCCTGGCCATTTCTGCAAAGATGCCTTGCTGTTGAAGCAGCTCTTCAGGGCTGTCAAATTCCACAATCTTCCCTTCCTGAAGTACCATCACCCTAGAAGAGAAAGAGCAATATGAATTTGGGAACGTTTCAATACAGGTAGTCCTCAAGTTACAGTAGTTCGTTTAGTGACCGTTTATAAAGTTATAGTGGCACTGGAAACAGAACGTATGACCATTATTCACACTTAATGACCGTTGTAGCATCCCCATGGTTACATGATTTATATTTGGATGCTGGAAAACTGACACACCTTTATAACGGTTGCAGTGTCCCTGGGTCATGTGATTCCCTTTTGTGACCACCTGACGAGCAAAGTCAATGGGGAAACCAATATAGCAATAGCAGTAGACTTATATACCGCTTCATAGGCCTTTCAGNCATGTGCTCAAAAGCACAGTTGGGCTTATTATCTGGGGAGGTCTTATTTTCAAGAAAACAAGGTAGCTTAATTGTGACCTTATGAATTAAAGTAGAAGGGGATGTGTACAGTGGTTGCTTGACATGTCCATCTGCTGATTTCACTGCAGTTCAGTAGCTGCAAGGCAATAAAATAAAACACGCTCATCATCTACTCTTTCTTGCATGTTTTTTTTCCCCTGCTGTGGGACTGCCAGGTGTCTGTATACTGAATGGTAAGCATCTTTATATACTATTGACTTACTTGTTTAGGTGTCTGAAACAGCAGAAAAGGATCTGGAAATATAATGTGGGGAGATGAGCCATTTGTAGGAGACAACTGCAGAAATCATTTGCACAACTGGGATTCAAAGAATCAGACAGCTTACAGCCATATTAGCCTGCTTGGATTGAGGACAGTGAGATAGGATTGGGAGTGGCAAGATGAATAGCATAGATATTGAGCAGGGGCAACTAGGCAGCAAGTGAGTATTGTTGACATTAGCCAGAGAAGGATGCATGTAAAGATTTGTGGAATTTAGTGGCTGGGATTGCTGGTGTCATGTTGTTTAGCTTTGAAGGACGGGGGTTTCTGTAAGAAAATGGCTTGTAGATGTGGAGTTACTTGGATGCAATGGTTTAGGATATAGAGAGAAGTAAATTTTGAAGGTGATTCCAAGTGCTCCTTTGTGTTTTGACCTTGACAGGGGTTGCACCAATTATATTGACCTGGGCTCCTTCCTGATCAAGCCTGTTCAGCGTGTGATGCGCTATCCACTGCTTCTGATGGAACTCCTGCGTGCTACTCCCGAGTCGCACCCTGATCGTGCTCCTTTGGCTGCTGCTGTCTTAGCTGTCAAGGAAATCAATGGCAACCTCAACGAGTACAAGCGCCGGAAAGATCTAGGTGAGCTGCAGGGCAACCAACACAGGACTAATGCAGTCAGTGTGGATGAGTGGGAAGGGGCTGTGCGATGTTCCATTTGAAGATTGCCTGTACCAGGTGGGTTGCTNCCCTTTTTGGAATCGGGGAGGGGACCCTGCAGCCCAAAAACTCTTTCATTGAAAAGGCTTTCATTGCAGTTCCCCAGGCAGCTTCAGGAATCAAGCTTCAACTGAGACAGCAAAGATGCTAGCCAGATGAATACTGATGGAGGCAGAAAGGTTTTTTTTCCTGATTTCCTCCCCCAAAATTAAGGTGCGTCTTATACTCCGAAAAATACGGTACTTGAATAGCTGAAGCATGTATGGTATCTTACGATGACACCAGCTCTTGGTCATTTTTACTAATTTCCTGTACCTCAAGTTCTCTCCTCCTTCACTCACTAGATAAGACAACCCTTCAGGTAGCGCTTGTACATAGGACTTCAGGTGTGCCAATTCTAGAGCATGCCAGATGTCTTCATCTGAATACTGATCAAATGGATCCAGATTCATATGCAAGCTCCCCGAAAAGAGTATAGGATCCTGAAAATGTAGATACAAGGCACTTTAGTCAAGGCGAGTTTGATTAAGAACTATGGCTAAGATAAATTGACGTAAGAGCAGGGGTGGGATTCTACCAGTTCGGGCGCAAATTGTGCCATCACAGAACCGGTTATTAGACTGGGAGGATCCCACCACTGGGTAAGAGAGTAGAAGTAGAGAAGTCTTAGTATTTAACCACCTGAAATTGCTTTCTGCTATTGTAATGGTATTGGGAATGATATTGGGAGAGAAAAGGAAGATCTGCAGGCTAGGCTATAGTCTGAAAAGAGGCAGCTGACCCCACAAAAAATGGGTAGTAGGTGACAAATATCTCAGAAGTAACCTTGCCTAGTTCTTGGATTGTAAAGGTTGGGAAGTTATTGTAACTTATAAAGATAGAGCTATTACTCTTAGGTTTGCTACTTGTTTGGGTTACCTCAAGGCTTACAACTGAATTAGCCTATTGTGTTATTCCTTTCATAATACATTCTAGCATCAGTTAACCAAATGGTGTGGATTTGCAGAACAAACTAATCTATCACATAGATAGACACATCTCAGCTCTAACTGATAAGCCATGTTGTGTAAACCCATCCTATATGTAGAGGTAGCTATAATATTAGCGACCTCTTTGAATAATTGAATTAAGTTGGATTGAATTACAAAATTAGTAAGTTTTTTCAGCTCTTCAGCCTCTGTAACTCACATCTGGAATTCAAAAAGGGTAGTTAAAATTGTCTAGATCCCATGTCAGCACCTACTCCAAAGGAAGTAGTAATCACAAGCTGGTAAAAAAGGAACACCTCCCTTATCCCTTCTTCCCTCATTACTGCAATGTGCAGATAGAGTTTGGTACACTATTCATGCAACCAAGCAGTCAAATTCTGAATCCCAGCATTTTCGGCAGATGCTCTAGGGCAGGGGTGTCAAACTGGCAGCCTGCAGGCCAGATGCGTCACACACAGGCCACGCCCACCCCTGCTCCGCAAAGGGGGAAAACGCCACGAAACCTTCTGACGGCAATGTGATGCCGCAAGTTTGACACCTGTAGCCTTGGGTTTCTTTTACCTGTGGGATGATAGTGAGTTTTTCACGTAGGTCATGAAGGCCAAGAGTTGCTATATCAAGTCCATCGATTAAGATCTTTCCTCCAGCTGCTTCCAAAATGCGAAAGAGGCAATTTGTCAGAGAGGATTTTCCAGCTCCTGTTCGGCCCACCACACCAATCTGAGAAGGCAGAATTCCAGGAATTAGGTGTCTGATAAAGCTTTAATTTCCCTCTTCTGGTGGCCTGTTTCTGTGATCCAACTGTGTTTACACTCTCCAATCCTGCCAAATAAGCCAATGGCAGGTTGCTCAGTAACTGTTACTTGCTTTCGGCAAAAAAGGTCATTCTTGATATCTGAACAATTTAGCATAAATTAGTATATGGACTGTAGAAAGGCCAAGCCTTTTCCCATTTTATCTCCACTTGATTTCACTCTTCTTTCTCCTGGACCATACACAATTCTCAATAAAACCCTGAAAACACCATTTATGTCTTTTCCCACAATATCTCACCTTCTCAGTACCCTTGATATCACAGTTGATCCCATCTAGAACTAGCTTTAGCTCAGGCCGATACCGAACCTTGTAGTCTATAAAAGTGATCTCTCCATTGTTGGGCCATTGAGAAGGTGGTCTCTGTGTTGTCACCCATGGTGCCTACACAAAGGAAGACAACCATTAGAAGAACATGCTTAGAACAATTTCACACATATCTTCATCTCACACATGTACACAAGTATATATTATTTGCACAGTTCCATTTTCTGTACCTCATTTGCAATTTCTGTGTATTCATGCAATCTCTCTACAGCCACAATGTTTGTCTCCAGCTCCGACGTCATTCGCACCAACCAGTTCAGAGTTTGAGTTATCTAAATGAATTAATGGAGGTATCACTATTATCATTCAGCTTCTTCAATTCCCCCTCTGATCAAATACTTACATTGAATATATTCCATCATAGACCCCCAACAGGACTGTGATTTTCATATTCATTAATTTTACTAGAACCATCATAGCTGCTTCTTCTAAAGCTCCAGAGGAATAGCATCTTTGGGCAATGCAAAGTTGGGCAACTTGAAACTTTCCAAATGGTCTTGAACTAGAATTCTCAGCATTTTTCACTATTCAGTATTTGGGTTAGATTAGGCTACTGGGAGTT